TCACAAACGTCCCAAACGCCTGGGACAACTGCGGGACAATAGCCACTTAGTATTCATGGGTGTTAAAGTAGTAGGTCTTGTTGATACCGGGGGTAAAAACGAGAAAGATTGATGAGCCTAGCCTCCGGCTGGGAATTCCAAGCAACTTCGGAAAACTTCGGTAATAGTCGCCGGGACCCTATACGCGCGATTTCTGACCCAGTCGGAGCTTCTCGGAAGCCGTCGGCAGCTTTTTCGGGAAAGGGTCTGTCAGGGGCGCCAAGGAAAGCAAGAGATATCACACATGTCAGCCCAAGCACGGCAGGAAGGGGATAGAGTATCAGTTGATTGTGGCGGGGTCAGCACGTGGGGGATTATCTGTCATCGGAACGCAACAGCTGAGTACATATTTCCCGCGGCTGTCGCCGGGCCCCATACTCACCATATCCACTGCGGAATTGGGCTTGTTGTTCCCATCAGTTCCTGATGAATACCATACAGTGCACGGCGCAGGGCCAGGGGCATGCACAACCAGAAGGTAGCCCCCGGATCGACTTGCAGACCTGCTAATTGACTGTCTGTCCGTGCTCTTCCATCGCCCGTGTTTATTATCCACCAGATCACGGTGATAAGATCGTATGACCGCCAGGAATAAATACCTCCATTGATGGAAGCCACAAAATACTTGAAACATTTGTTACTTAGCTTCACCCTAGATCTTGCTGAGCAGGGTTACATGGGTATATACTCGTGAGGCGGAGTAAGGTAGATAAAGATCTAAAAGACTTGGGTGCATGAGAGAAGAAGAAAAGGTGGTCATGGGAAGAGTACACGGGTCGGAACGTTCGCAGGGAAGCGTAGAGGAAGACATGACAGACCCCGGTGTGGTTCTCGAAACGGCGTATCATCAAAAGACTCTCCACGTAGATGGGAAAGATGAAAAGGTCTGACGAAAGAAGGGATATCACAAAAGAAAGAGACCACACAGTGTCCAAGAAAAAAAAAAGAAAATCGAATAAAAGGTGCACAACCAAAAACTATTGAAGTTCACAGTAATATGATGCAATAAAAAAAGGAAGCAAAGAAGTTATTTGTTGTATCGTAAAAACTTGCATGTTGGGTGAAATTTGACCGTGAACAAGATGATTGTTAGTCAAGTTCATCTCTAGAAAACTCCATATTTCCAAAGCTTGTATGTTTGAAGGAAGTCCAGACCGTCTATTTTCCCAACTTTTGATACAAAATTTCTAGAAAAATGTATTTTACACCATTAATGTTCCATGCTGCGACCTGCGTAAGGCTAAACGATAAAGGTATGGGTGAAAGTGTCAAGGTATCATCTCATAACCTTATAACCACTTTGTTTGTTTGTTTGTTTGTTTGTTTGTTTCTTTCTTTCTTTGTTTGTTTGTAGGTATAGTTAGATCACCTTATTCCCTTACAATCACTTTCTTTGTAGGTATAGTTGTAGAGGACCTTACAAAAGTTGCTGTAAGTTTGTGTCAAGATTTCTCTTTTGTATGATGTTTCATATCATGCTTAAAATTTCAACACGGCTCTTCCTAGATGTTGTTTATTCTTTAATAAACCAAGGCGATGAGAACGACATCACCAAAACGTTTTAACAGTGCCCTGCACCGTATCGGTATAAACAAAGATTTCTTCAATGTCCAATTTGCTATGTGTCCAAAAAACACATCACCTTCTGTATATTGTTTGTAACGCGTGAATGTTTTTTTTTACTTTTAAATTTTGTCTTATTGTAGATCTACTATATACAATAGCTAAATGGTAGGTACCTCGAAGTTGAATGAACCTTGGAACTTGGGACTTACAGAGTTTTTAAAGGTACCCAATACAATTTCAAGGCAGCGACTAAACAAAAAATATTCTGGATGAGGAACTCTGTCTGATATTGACATTTACTGTCATTCTTAGGAGATTTTCGTAATCAATTCGTACTTGATTCCCAATATATTTTTCTTATTCCAACATGTAATCACCAGACGTGGTGACGGCACACTCAAGTTTTTTCCACTTATATTAATGCCGCCACCAACACAGGGGACAAATACATTACAGGACAATACTCATTTACACCTGAGTTCAGTGAGGAAAGTCGTGTAAAGTGCCTTTCCCAAGGGCACAAGATCGGTGGCATGTCAGGACTCGAACCCGGGACCTCTAGGTTCCGAGTCGCGCACTCTGCCGCTACACCACACGACCCCAAGAGTCCCAATGTTTCAAGTTGGGTACCCTTACCCTACAAACTATACAAAACAAGCAACAGTTTTCCGTCAACAACATCGCATTTTTTACCTCACAGATATCAGTATGCTATGGGATAGGGTTGACATTGATAATCCAGTTTTGCCGCCCTGAAATTGCATTGAACGTCTCTTAAAACATCTGGATGTGTCTAACTACCCTCAGATAGACGTGTGACGAGGAGAAGTGATCGCCCAGAGTCGTAAGGAAATGATTTACAATCGGGAAGACGTCTGGGCGGGATCGGTAAGAAGACCCCATATTGGGAGGGGTCCTCCAGTCAACGGCCAGCGGCATGATTAATGACTTGTGGTCCAAATGTCGGTCACCAGACTTGTTAGGACGGTTTCTTTAGAGGTTAAAAAAAATCCTAGTGGACACATTGTAGCCTCTACCAGGCACCGCGGATCGCTGGAAAAATAGTAGAAATTGGCCGAAATAAAGGGATAGTATACCAGAGAAGATCCACGGGTCGCAAATTGGAGCTTCTATGGCCCTGGATCTTCTCTGGTATACTATCCCTTTATTTCGGCCAATTTCTACTATTTTTCCAGCGATCCGCGGTGCCTGGTAGAGGCTAGACACATTGTAGGTGAAAGTATATGGCCAAAGGTCCCCCTATAGTTGTATAGATATTTTATAGCGGTGTGAATGTTTTCAAAAGCCACAGTACATACTGAAAGGCCGGGAGATCTTACACACTGAAAACACGATCTAGGGGCGTACTCACGTCAGGAAATGCAGGTAGTAAAATCTGCCTAACTAGTTGATCTGCTTGCGTGGGGGATGGGAGGAGTCGTTTCACGTGGGATTTAAGTTGTCAAAATTGTTATGACGAAGAGAGTGTACACAGAGATTAACATGCCGATGAGTTAAGTCACAATCGCTAGCAGCCCAGCAGCCGCTAAGTGGTACACTGTGGTTTCGAAAAAGGACAACCCTTTCAAGTAAAGGCGGAGACATTTGAGGTACCGAAATATCAAACGCGTTCAAACGAATTTCATTGATGATGAAGTTTTAACTTAAACTTAAAAGTTTTTGTTCTTTGTTGTCTTTCACATTTTACACGATGGATCAAGCCAATTTTATCTCATACATTATTTGATTATCCTTATTGTATTATTTAATTATTTCCATTTTCTATTGTATTATTTCCATTTATTGATTATATTTAATTTTGTGTAGTCTAGAGGAGGAGGGCCTAGTACATGTATAAGCATTCCATGCTTCTCCCCTCCTCCTGCACCTGTTTTATCCTTGTTTTGTATTATTATTGTCTGTTTTGTTTATGTGCAAACTAATAAAATCAAATCAAATTTTGGTTGTTTTTCGGTCTCCACCCAGAAGAAAAGGTGGATAAAGGATGAAGCCAGCTTTAACGTTCCGGGCAATTCCACGACATATGCTGCCACCTACCGGAGGAAACATCTGTGGTGGGTAGACCAGGTCATCACATAAGGCCACAGCAAGTAAATTGTATGGATGACATCCTCCGCAGACTCCACATCTAATGCGGGCGGGCGAAAAAAAACAAGGGTAGCAGAAAAAAAAACAAGGTTACTTCATTTTGAAATTTTGACTCAATCATTGTACAAATGATTTTGATTCAGTAGGAACACTACATATACCGTACACAGCCAACATCACATATCACTGCATCAAAGTAAGAAACAAACATTGAATCAGAGCCTTTTCTTGTCTCCTCTCTTCATGATTATCTGGCATCCACCTTCCGGCATGGCAACAGACATCTTTGCCCATTTTCGGCATGTTGACCACTGTCAGAAAGCAAAAAAAATTCCTTTTTATTTCCAAAATCAGGCGAAAATTAATGCGCGCGTTGATGTCATCCATAAAAATTACTTGCTGTGGCCTAGACTCAACCCTCAGTATGGCCGTACAGGACGATAGATGAACAGTGCCTTACCTTACCTTACATGATAGAACTCCTAAACCACAGTGAGACATTACATTGTTCTTGACTGATTGTATTGCCTGACAATTAGCCTTTAGTTGTACATGCGCTGATAAGGGTTTTAACTTGTCGAAACAGATATACTGATAAATATTTTACCTGTAAATATGTCTCAATCCGAATTGTCATTGTTCCGACGCAATTCAGCCGTTCTGGCTGCAATGTTTGTGACAATGGTCTGCATATAACGTTATATACTATTAGTTTGAAATTAACCATTCATATAACACGAATACTGGAAACAAAATATTGGATTCTATACGTCCGTCTTTTTCTTCTTGGACAAAAACGGAACACAAAGATTAAATCCGATCCAGTTACATCCAATTGACAGATTCTATATCCCCTGTACACCTCACATACTACTCAATGTGCATACGACTAGTAACCACCATTTGGCTGTGACACATTTCTTGGCATTGACAAAAGCGACTCCTAGCAGTTCATACGTTCATTGCATAGGTCTCTCGTTTTTTATAGGTTTCTCGTTTTGTAGCAGTCAATGACTACTACTGGGTGAAAACCTTTTATTTTGCCCTCTAGAAATGAAGATCAAACTCCCCACTTTTTACCAAACGTGCTTGACGCCAAAGATTTCGTTAAATTCCGACTTTTTCTGGGATGATTCGACGCGTCGAAGGTCACCCTGGAAGTTGTCTAACAAGTTTTACCTTCAAGGGGGCGTCAACATTTTACCTTCACCGAGTGGATGGAGTGTACGTAAGGAATGAGACTAAATGTGGCCCTCTACCGACACTACATTGCCATCATGACCTGTTATACGTTGGTAACAGTGACCCTGGTCACAGTGATGTTCCTCCAGTCACAAGAAGGGATAGCCAAGACCAACACAGCTGACTCCAAAACCGTCCCCGACAAGCCTAACATCGTCCTCCTGGTGGCTGATGACATGGGGTGGGGGGATCTGTGCAGTTACGGCCATCCTACCCAGGAGTGTGGTGAGATAGACAAGATGGCGGTGGAGGGGATGCGCTTCCTGCAGTGGTACAGCGCAGACTCGCTGTGTTCCCCGAGCAGGGCAGCACTGTTAACAGGTGAGGGTTAGAATGTTGCTGCAGGTAACCCGAGGTAGACCTGTTGTGCTCTAACTTTAAACACATTGTTAACAACATAATTAGGCCACAGTAAGTAAATTTTATGGATGACATCCTCCGCAGACTCCAAATCTAATGCGAGAGGGCGAAAAAAAAACAAGGCGGGCCCAAAAAAAACAAGATTCCTATATTTTAAAATTTTGACATCATAAACCCTATTAAATGATACCTATGTGGTGCTAACTTTACTGCCAACTATCACATCAATTTGTCAGTAAAACAATTTTGAAAAGGGAAAGTTTTCAATCATTGTACAAATGGTTTTGATTCCGTGGAAACGTATAAAAGGAATAAAATACATGTTTGCATCAAAGTAAAAGTCAAAAAAATAAATCAGAGCCTTGTCTTGTCTCCTCTCTTCATGTTTATCTGCCATATACGTTCCAGCATGGCAAGGCATACCATTTTGTCCATTTTCGGAATGTTGACCACCGTCAAAGGGCAACAAAATTTCTTGTTTTTTTTCCAAAATCAGGCGAAAATCAATGCACGCGCGCGGATCGATGTCATCCATAAAAATTACTTGCTGTGGCCTTAATAGCATCAACGCTCCCTCTTCCACTGGGTACTCTCGGTCCTTGATGTTTTGTACACCTGGATATCTGAATGTGCATACATGGGGCTGGGGAATGTACAAAGTAGAAAGTATGATCATGCAAATCTACACCTATTTTGCCGAATTTGCACACAGGCCGCCTGCCAGTCCGTGTGGGTATATGGGGAGGGGAGAGACTTTTCTTAACGACAAGTACGGGAGGTCTGCCGAAGAACGAGACAACCATCGCCGAGGCACTGAAGGAGGCTGGGTACGCTACAGGCATGGTCGGCAAGTGGCATCTAGGTACGTGCTTGTTCAGTGTCTGTCTGTCTGTCTGTTTGTTTGTTTGTGCGTGATTAGGTGTGAGTGTGTGCATCTGTGTGTGTGTGTGTGTGTGTGTGTGTGTGTGTGTGTATGTCTATGATTATGTGTGTTTGTATGTGTGTGTCAGTGTGCGTACGTCTCTCCCTCTCTGTATCTGTGTGTGTGTGCGTAGGTCTCTCTTTCTCTCTCTCTCTCTCTCTCTCTCTCTCTCTCACTTTCTCTTACTCTCTTTCTCTCTCTTTCTCTCTTTCTCTTTCTCTCTCTCTCTTTCTCTTTCTCTCTCTCTTTCTCTCTCTCTCTGTTACTGCGTAAGCGCGCCTGTGGAGTATAAGCACGCGCGCGTGTATGCATGTGCATGCATGCATATGTGTGTGCGCGTCAAAGTGCACAAGTGTGCGTGTCACTGTACTGCGCCTAAGACTTATACACTAGACTCTTAGACTCTAGGTGTATGTGTACTCAATGTATCTGTCTGTCTGTATTCAGTATCTGTCTATGTTTGTCAGTGCGTTGTGGTTTATCAGGGCTCAAAATTCATTTTTATTCATGTGAACCCTGTTTAATTACCACTCCTGGCACAATTGATATATCTGTCTATTCATATCTATATATCCATATGTTTATATATAGAGAGAGTGGGTGAGAGATTGTAAGAATGCTTTTGATTACCACAGGTATTAATGAGTTTTCACCTGACGATGGAAGCCACCTGCCTCACCATCATGGGTTTGACTTCGTTGGAACCAACATTCCATTTACCAACCACTGGGCATGCGACGAATCCAAGGTTTCCTGAAGTTTACGTCTTGAACATCACCAACTCTCTCGCATGTACTCATAGCTACATGTAACATGCACTGTAGTTGGTTTAAAGTAGCAGTGCGCATGCACTGGAATCCCATGATGCTTCAGAAGCTCAAAGGGGCTGTTCTGCCTAGCGACCCCCCTCCCTCAACCCTTTCCCCGCAGTCAAAGTCATCGTGCTAAATCACACACTCGCACCTCGCACTCTTATATTAAAGAAAGATACACACACATGTATATCTTATGAAAAACTTAAATTGTTCTCCAACTCAAAATTTGACTCACCAGAAATTTTCGACTGAATCACTCAGTCTTCCTCAGCTATCTGACCCAAATGCTGTGGACACGTGATTTTTCCCACGTGTGACGTCAGCAAAGGGTCAAAGGTTGTCTGAAGTCGATATCGCCCCCCGTCCCGGTTGAGAGATGGTTGAAGTGCCCTGATGTATATGGCCTCTTTTATGCCTCTCTTGAAGTAATCCTGTTCGGTATCCAAGATTCTGACCCCCTCCAGATCCACTGTGTGTCCCAGTGATTCTATGTGGATGTGCTGTGACACCTCAGATGCAACAGAACTGGGTCGTCTTATCATGTATATCTTATCTTTCTTCGCTTCTTTCCCTTGACAATCACTATTTTTTTATCTTTAACTATTAACATTGTACTAGAACTATTTACATTGTACTATAATTCATATTTCATGAAATCATTTTGTTGTGTTTGAATGTGTTTAGATCCACATGGATAGCCCTGAACCGATGTTGTGTTTTAAGTACTGGAACTCCACACTAGTCCAGCAGCCTTTCAGACACGATAACCTGACCGCCTCCTTCCTACAAGACTCCGTAGCCTTCATACACAACAACAAGGACAGACCCTTCTTCTTCTACTTCTCCTTCGCTCACATGCACACCGACATGTTCTCTGCACCCAGGTTCAGGCAGACGTCAAGGAGAGGTAAACATTTTATCATGAAAGTTCATCTGAGTGTGTTGGTAGTTACGTGTTTAAATTTAAAACTTTTAGTCCAACACAAAAAATTCTCTCACCTAGAGCTTTCGACCAGTCACTCTGGTCTTCCTCAGTAGACTGACCCAGTGGACATTTTGTCTGTTTTTTTTTATTTATTTGATGTTACTTTTTAATCAGTATTGTCAGAATAGTTATCTTCCATAAATGCAGGGAATCTGTGTGTGTTTCCCACCAGGAAGATATGGAGATGGGCTGCGTGAGATGGACTGGGCTGTAGGAGAGGTGCTGACAACACTCGTCAGTCTACAGATCCAGCACAGAACACTGGTGATCTTCCTGTCGGATCACGGAGGGCATCTTGAGATCTGCACTGAGGGAGGATCAAACGGGATTCTCAAAGGTACACTTTTCTGTGAAAATAACACGATCTCGTCCTTATGTACATCTATCTAAAGGGTGTCTTTAGCCCTGTTCACATCAAACCGGCTGAACCGCGATTCGGGTAACACACATTCCTCACATCTGGTCCACGTGCCACACGTTCCTTTCAATCAGTTCATCACGATTCGCTTAATCTACATTAATTGTCAAGGTTGCGTGTTATCAATATCAGAGGTCAACGACCTGCTTGCTGGTGCCCCCCTCCCTGCGTACCTCGGCCGAATGCCGACGTGGTCCCGCCAGAGGCGGTGAAGCTTGCCCTAGAACGGACACATTATTTGACCATTACTACTCTTTAAGTTGCTGCCACGTAAATTTTGGTAGTGCATATAAGGTCTCATTCGTGAGTTTTTGTTAACTATGGCCGCCTATGGCAAAATACGTAACTTTACATAGGCCAAAACCCAATAATTTGAATGACAGCCATCTAGTCTATCCAATCAATTTTGAGCACAATGGCCCTACATTACGTCAAAAAATTCCCAACCAGATCTAACCCAACAATCTCTTTTTATTTAATTATAAACTGCACTTGGCCACTCTCCGCCAGAGGTCCTCCAGCGCTGCTACCTCCTGACCGCATTACCCATCACAACAGCGTGTAAACATCCGACCTGTCGCGCGGATGTCAACACTTACCCACTAATTTTAGCACATACAAACAACCTCTCATATCACAAGCGGTTTACGCCAACTGACTTAGCTAAAATGCAATTTCTGGCGGATATAAACACACATCCATACACGCATTTAATTTTTAGTACGATCTACTTGAGAGTACCCACGCGGAAGAATACCGGAATGAGACCTTAAATAAAGAAATATCACCCTGTAATCCATGACCAGTTGAAGTCACATTCAAATCACATTGCGTTCAGACGCAACTCGCGATGCGGGAAAACCGATTCGAAACTACCCCCCGAAGTGGTTTGGGATTGAGGCGCTTTCAATGTGATTTGGAGCGTTCAGATGGAGCCACTTGAAACCGGCTTCGAGGGAAACCACATGTAAAGCGCTTTCACCGATTTCGTCTGAACACGGCTTTAGAGTGAACGGGGCCTTTGTTGGTCTTGAGTATTTGAGAGGTATTTCATGTAGTAACCAATTGCCGTTGCATATTTTGCAGGTGGCAAGGCATCCACATGGGACGGAGGTTTGCGTGTCCCCGGAATAGCCTGGTGGCCAGGTGTTGTTGCACCTGGGCAGGTGTCCCACGACCTGGTCAGCTCCATGGACGTGTTCCAGACAGCTGTTGAGTTGGCAGGTGTGACTCCGCCAGACGATCGCATCTATGACGGGAAAAGCCTGGTGCCGATTTTGCTGAAGACGTCGGCTGCTCCAACAAGTAAATCTACTCCCTCCCCGCGGACCCTGTTTCATTACTGCTCTGATAGACTGATGGCGGTGAGACATGGGGAGTACAAAGCACACTTCTACTCCATGGAGCTACCAGGAGTGGACTACACACAAGCTTGCCCAAGCGGCGTCCCAACTGAGGACTACTACGCATCGTTTGACTGTTACGATACTGAAACAGTTACACACCACAACCCGCCGCTACTCTTCAACATAGACACTGACCCAGGAGAACGTTACCCTCTGGCTATAAACGAGCACGCGGGGACGCTCTTCGAGATTCTTCTAGAAAAGTTAAAACACGAAATCAACATGGTACCGGGAAAGTCGCAGTGTGAAGAGCAGTCTGAGACGGTACAACCTTGCTGCAATCCGCCATCTTGTACTTGTAACTATGAAGCACCCTGACAACAGAAATAAAATTAAATGCCAGCAGCAGATTTTAAATGTGTGTGTGTGTGTGTGTGTGTGTGCGTGTGTGTGTGTCTGTGTGTGTGTGTGTGTGTGTGTGTGTTGTGTGTGTTGTGTGTGTGTTGTGTGTGTGTTGTGTGTGTGTGTGTGTGTGTGTGTGTGTGTGTTGTGTGTGTGTGTGTGTGTGTGTTTGTGTGTTTGTGAACATGATAACTTGAGAAGGCCTTGATGGGTTGTCTTGATATTTGGTAGGTGGGTAGGTCTTGATGAGACCTCAAAGTGAATAGATTTTTGGCCACCTAGCGGCTTGTCATGGTACTGCAGCAGAACCGGTTTTGATATCTCATGATCCCGACATGCTAGGGTCATGAAATTTACACGAAAGTGACATGAGTTTGAGCCCCCTAGCTGCTTGCTCTGGAACTGCAGGAAGGTTTGTTGAAAAAAGTTTAAGGGAGGATAACTCAAGAACCGATTGATGGATCGTCGTGATTTTTGGTATGTAGGTAGCTTGAGTGATGCTTGACATAATCATATAACAATTATGCAAATTTGGATGTAATTTGCATAATTTATGAGGAAATTATATGAATCAGCTGCGTTACATATGTAAGATGTATGAGAGATACTTTCTGGGACAATATCATGTTTCAGATAAGTTTAGATTTTGTTACATGTGAAGCCAGAAAAGTAATTACACTCGTACTCCAAGATGTTGAATTTTGCTCCAGGTGTCGTTATCAGTACAACCGACAGAGGGCGCGCAGAACACGTCGCATGTCTTCTCTGTACCTCGGACACCAGATTTAGGCCATGTTGATTTGATTATATGGATGACATCCACGCGCGCATGAATTTTCGACCGTTTCCAAAAAAAAAAAAAGTTTTACAACCATACTGTAAATCGTGCAAAACAGTTGCTAAATGAGCACAAATATACCATAGGTTGCAAGGAAAATATTTAGAAACGATACCAATGTCGTAGAATGCCAAAATCAAAGGAAAAAAGACAAAAATGTAAAGAAATGAATTCGAAGAGTAAATTATTCGCCATAACATATTCTTTGCCATTTGTTCAACCTTCATGACCACGTAGATTTCATAGTGAAAGCAACTTTTTTTTTTTTGCAAAACTTTTTTTTATTCGCACGCGCGCATCAGTTTTGGAGTTCCCAGAGGATGTCATCCATATAATCAAATCAACATGGCCTTATATATAACTAAAATTCACCTCATTACTTCCTCATGTTATTAATGTACAAAATGTAATGTATATAATGTACAGTATTGTACTGTGTTATTGTAGTGTCTGGGAGGGCAACTTCTAACAGCGTCAATACACCTGTTTTGCCCTCAAGAAAACTGCAGCAAAATTTGCACTCATTTTAAAATAGACTGCCTCGTTGACCCAAAGTGACCCAGCCGGTGCCATTCTAAATTGATTGCTTTCCATTTCTCGCCAGATACCATTACAAAAACGTTTTCCGTCACACGCTTGGAAAATACCTAAAAGGGCTATTTCAAAAATACCCCTGCAGTTCCAGTCTTCCAGAACAAGCTGCTATATTCGCCAAACGTCACTTCGTACAGATCACAAAAGCTATCCAAAATTCGTGACCATAGCATGACGAGGTATCAAAACCGGAAGAAGCTCTGATTCGGTATCCAGAAGGGCCAGACACCACGTTTGCGTTGGGCAGTAGAGGCCTCAGATTGTAGTGCCTAGTTAATACCTTTTAAAATCTTTTTTTCTCTTGAAAGTTTTGGTCCATTTTGGAGATTTTTGGGCTGGAAGGCACAGGTAGGGTCTAAACTTTCCTACTTTGGTCAGGTTTTGTTTATTTCACCAGTTTAGTGGGTGTAATGAGAGGTGTGAGTGGTTAGGCCTTGTCTGGCCAGGCGGATGGATACCATGAAAAATTAGGTCAAAGCTGAGGTTTTGTTACTATCATCAGCTGTGGCGGGAATTTGAGATGGTAGACCCCCTGTTTCCTTTCTATATTTGGGAATCAGACCCTAGTGGCTACTTGGTGCAGAAAAAATTTTGAGATTGAAGTATGGGCAAGTACTTTCATGAGGACTTCTAATAGTGTATTTAAGCATGTGTTCCTATGGACAGATCTATTTAGTACTTTCTGCCCAGAAAAGCACGGGGGGTGGAGTTCCACTTCAGTACCAAGGAAAGCACCAGGGGTCCAAATCTTAATCTCCAAGCAGATTCGGTGGGGCAAGGGGACTTAATGTTGGCCGCTTGCATCCATTGGCCGCCTGTATCCAGCTTTTGTTTCACTGAACCACCACACAAATGTAACACCAATCCATCAAGTTATTTTTGACTTATCTTGATCACAGACAGGCATTAGGGGTGCCAGAGTTTACAGTGCAATTTTACGGAATACAGTGCAATTTTACTACTGACGTTGAATCACGTCACTTGGACCCTGCTTTCCTTGAGTTTCAAGATGGCGGACGCCGCTGACTCACATATTTCTGTCTTTTTCGAGCGAATTCGAAATGATACCTCTGTAGTAACATGCCCCGTGTGTAGTATGTAGTGATTTGACTAAAGGTCTATCTACGAGAACGGTCCAAATTCTCTCGAAAAACACAGAAATATATGAGTATGCTCCGTCAGCGGCGTCCCTGGAAAGCCGGGCCCAGGTTACGTCATTCAACGTCATTAGTAAAATTGCACTGTATTCCGTAAAATTGCACTGTATATCAATACAATTGCACCTTATTCCGTAAAATTACACTGTATACTAGTAAAATTGCACTGTATTCCGTAAAATTGCACTGTATACTAATACGATTGCACTGTATTCCGTAAAATTGCACTTTATACTCTGGCACCCCTGGGCATACACTGCTGAAAACATAACCTCCATTTTGTGGAGGTAATAAAAAGCTATAATGTTCCCTGATTTCCGCTCCAAGATGTTGAAGTTTTCCAGTTGCCATTATCAGCACAACCGACAGAGGGCGTACAAAACACATCGCGTATCACCTCTGTAGATCTACTCTCCAAGTAGAGGTTTGGGTTTTGGTTTATCTTTTGGCTTTTTTATCTGGCCTTTCCGTGTTCGTTTTTGCGCCCTATCTGTCCACCTACTGGTCTATCCACCCAGCTACCAGGTCACTATGAAACGCATGCCAAGCAGAAAGTAACGGCAACCTTGAAAATCTGTCTGAAATGAATTCTGATAACCAATGTGAATTATCAAGTCTAACCTTCCAGATGCCAGATAGATCAATATTTTTTTCTGACAGAAAAATTCAAATACGCTACAAGCCACAGTCGCTCCCTGGATCATGGGTTGACATGTACATGTATGCTGATGGGCTTCAGTTCTTTGTTTCAGTAGATGACACTTTTGACAATTAAACATAAGATAGCGTTTACCTTGGGAAAGAGAGTGAATGCATGTACTAAATAATGTATGTATGCTTCATTACCTTCGCTTAGAAGGTTATGTTTTTGGTAGCGTTTCTTTGGATACATGTATGTATGGATATAAAGTTATGTATGCATGCATGTAGGTACATTTGTGTGGTTTAGCTCGATAACTCAAGAAGTATGAATGGATTGCCATGACATTTGGTATGAGGATAGGTATTGACCTCATTACCTCCATGAAAAATGGAGGTATTGTTTTTGGCGGCGTCTGTCTGTATGTGTGTCTGTGTGTGTGTCTGTCTGTGTTTCCGCAACTTTGTAGTCAGCATAACTTCAGAACGCCTTTAGGGATTACCATGATATTTGGTATGCTGGTAAGTCTTGGAAAGACAAAGGTCAAGGTCAAGTATGGGCCTCCTGGTGGCTGACCTTGGTACTGCAGCAGAACTTCCGGTTTTGGTATCTTTTGTCCTGAACAAGCTATGGTCTTGAATTTTTGGTGACAGATAGCTTATCCTGTCAGGAATAAGTGGCGTAAGTTTGGTCCCCCTAGCAGCTTATTCTGGAACTGCAGGTTAGTTTCTGGTAAAAACTTTAAAAGCCAATAACTCCAGATTGGAACAACGTATTTTCATCATTTTTAGTGTGTAGGTATCTGACAGAGAGTTGTACATGATTAAATGCAAATTATGCAAATGAGGACTTACTTGGCATAATTAAGGAGGAAATTCTATAATTACAGTGTTTTACATTATAGAACTTTCATACATGTAATGTATGTAACCTATGGCAGATGGAACATCAACAGATACTAATTATGCAAATGATGAACTAATTTGCATAATTAATGCAAAAAATCTATGATTTCTCAATGGTGAATGATGGGAATGCCATACTTGGGACATCTTTAAGTTAATCAAAAGTTAACATCCCGATGCATATATTATGTTAATGCAGAGGTCATTTGCGTAATTAAAGAATAAATTTACATTTACATATCAAGCCCATATTTCATGGAGGTATGAGATCTCGGAACTCTTGTTTGCATGGCAAACGATTGGAAGTTTACACTTACATCAACTGATATGATTTATGGAAATGAGGACCTTATTTGTATATCCAATGAGAAACCTTTAAAATCCGTCCTTAGTTAACATCATTTGGCGAAGGTCGTGGAACTCGAATTTGTAATGGCCTCAATCTGAAATGAAACCGACTCAACAGTTCAGCGATACCATTTTATCCCAATCAGAAATAGTTTTATGACATGGGCCAATTTCAACTAACGTCGCAGTAACAGTCTTCCGTTGAAGTCAAACGATACCTTCCTCATCCACTTTTAACAAAGTCTGAAGGTGACCTAGTTTCCTTGCGCAGGGCTAGTCAGTCTGCCCTAGAGAACTTCTCTAACAAGGCTTTTCAATCACGCAATCGATTTTTGGTGTGTTGGTGTCGTCTGCGCGCCGTGTCAGGTTCCCGCCTCATTTTCCCGCCTAATCATTTTCCCGCCAAAATGTCCCATCCCTCTCTCTCTCGCTCCACCTAGCCTCCTTCGCAGTCTTGTTGGGCGCCGGCGTTATTTTTTTTTCTGTGAGCGACGCGAGTAA